CAGTATTATTGATTACTGAATGACGACGCCTTTCGAACACAGTTTATTTATTTATTGTTCATAATCATATCATCACTTAAAACTATACAACTTCAAAACCTTTGTTTTATAGTTTTCTTTATTCCTTCCTATTCGTCGTCGTAGGGCGGGAGCGGTAGTAGAATTTCGCAGATGTCTGGGTGGAAAGATGTTCAATCATTCCTATTACACGTATTCCCTCTCAGTTGATTTGATAAATAAAGCCTGAATCAGTTATCAGTCTCTTCTTCCGCCCTGTTATATTAGATTTTAAAACTGTCATCTTATCCCATCACTCTATATTGTATGGTAGGGTGTGCATGTAGTGAGTGGTATGGTTGAACTATTCTCTAGATTTCTTATTACCTTATTCGAGTCAACTAATCTCGATTTTGCTAGGTTTTTATGCTCTGCTAGTCCGACTGCACCTGTTCTACTGCTTTCACCTATGTACTTGACCTGATAATCATTACAGCAGGGTTTCAGATAAACTAAATTATTTTGTTTTATTGGCCCCATAAGCACGATCCCTTAACAGACAAAACTTGTTTCTAGTTGAGTTTATGGGTAGTTTGAATGTCAACCACTTTTATTCCTTATTGTGACGTTGAGAATTTTCTGCCGTGAGGTTTCCAAGGTTCCTTCTATGTGTGGAAGTACTACTGATGACTTAAATTCCCTACTGTTGGTGTTATCATCATTCTGTGCATGCATGTTTCTCATGCACGTCGTCTTAAATATTATTATTATCGCTATCAATACCATTATTAATAATTTTATTTTTACATTTTCCTACATAGTTCCTGTTTAATTTATCAGGATAATTATAAATTAAGTTGTGAAGCCTGTCTTATATGTCTCACTTTCTGTCTTAGATTTTCCTTAATACTATATATTTAATGTGTGTTGATTAAAGTTCTGCCCCTCAAAATAACACTGTTTCACTGTGTGTCTATGTGTGTGTGTGTGTTTGTGTGATTTCTAATATACAAATCAATATGAAATTCTCAATTTCACTTGTCAGATTTTATTATGAACCAACAGATTAGTTAGAGGGAAAGATCATTGAGAGCTAGGAGAGTATTTCGGACAGCTGTTCACGAGACTTCAGCAGTGTACGTACACCCATGAGATCCCACAAGTGAAATTATAATTGATCTCAATCTGCACAAATCTCATCAGCTGAATATCATTCACCAACTCATTGATGACTGGTACTAGATGGAGGTAGTGACCAACCTGAAGGATAGTGGCCATGGAGTATGAATGCACCAGTGACGTTGAACTCGTGTCCTTTTCTTTGGATTGTAGAACCTGACGTTATTACACCATCAGTATGAACGCTGTGCATGAAATGATGTTCAGATTCCATCCCGATCTGAACAATAGGTTGATAGTACGCCGTTATTGTTGGAATAATATTTTGGTTAGGGTTGTGGTTAGGCTATAGATAAGGGTGTTCTATTATTATTTTTATTTTTGTTGTATATATATAAATAAATGGGAGGAGAGTGGGTCGTTGTTTATATATATGAATGCAACCTTTTGATAGCTATGAAACTTGAAGACATAGGCTTTTTTAGCGAAATTTCCACTTATGATGTGGGTGACTTTGAAGTTAGTTTGTGGATGGATTAGCTTGGTGTCCAAAGGTTTTGATCAGGTGTTCCAGAAGGAGATCCTTTTTCTCCTTTATAAAACCATGACTGTGGGTAAGTGTTCAATAATACATTTGGATGGCAAACGCTGAGTACAACTGACATACCTAGCTCCACGGGTGAAGCAGGTGAATTGGTAGATGCACATTGACCAGCAGTGGTAGTTTATGCTTCAAACTCATACGAATCATTGGTTATTCGAAGGTTTTCTTCAATGGGTGGGACAATGAGCGGTTTCTCTGTATTTTTGATGGTGAGTCTCCGTTGAATTGTGGATTCAAGTAAAGACGCCTATTTATTTAATTTTATTTTAGTTTTTACCCAACTAACGCTTTCTACATTACGTAATTTGTTGCGTAAAACAGTTTAAAGTTCTAATGACACATCTTTGAAAATATTCCTTAAGTTGCTAAGATAATTTACGACATATGTATATATGCGGTTGTACAGCTTGAGAATGTGATATCGCTGAAAAAGGAGTAACTCTCCACTGAACGCCTTTTCTTTTATTTAACTCAATGAGGATTGTCAAGTTGCTTAAACATTATTTTTGTATGGTTGTTTTTATTTACACATTTAGGAAATTGATGGAGCTGCCCTACTCTGTCTTGAACAACACGATCTAATGAATGTACTTGGCATGAAATTAGGTCCTGCTGTCAAGGTTTACACTGCAATTCAAACCCTACGTAAAAGTCTTCTAGCTACACCGATATCAGAACTTGGTGCAGAACACGCGAATGCAATCGCTGCAGTTGTATCCTGTTTCACGAACAACAACAACACGAGCTTATCTTCACCACAAATTGGTTCTGGTGGTGCTGGTGCTGGTGTCAGTCTATCGGTAATCAGTGATTCACAGTCCGTTGTAAACGGATCTAGTGTAGATACTTCATTATCTAATACTTGATATATTCTATTTTCACTCACTAACTCGCTCACCCACTCACACATTGTTCTGTTTCAAGAAAATAATAATAACCCCGCCTGCTCGACATTCCTTCATTCCTGAATGTGTATAGAGTACACTGTCTCCTGCTGCTGCTACGGAAGTCTAGTTTGTCAAACAGATAGACAGATAAATAGAATCTAAAATAATAAAAAGCTAAGTGTTCCTCTTGTGTCAGTTTTTGGTGTATTTTTCTGTGTTCTTACTCTGTGCTTTCTTCTGGCTTTTTTGTGTGTTTTACATATATATGTATTTTATATATATTCAATCTTGAGAATACCTCTCATCCAGTTGTGTAGGGATATTAGTGATACAGATTATTATTATTATTGTTAGTAGTAGTAGTATTAGTGATAGGTAGTCAGCGCATGCCTTGGTTGTGTGAGTGATGTGCGCCTTTGCTTTAGCTCCTTCCTCCTCTCCATCTTCTTCACACGAATCTATTACCAAGATGTATGTCCTCTACTCTCTTTTTAGTTCATATTTATGTATTTACTTACTTATTTATGTATTATTAATATTACTAATAATAATTGTAGTAGTCGCATATTAATACACACAGTGTGCCTTGACGCTGAAAGACGAATAGTAATCACAATGATTAGATTAACTTATTTTATTTGGACACATGTCTGCCTACTCCATTTTTATTCCCTGTCGTTCTCGTTCACTCACTCACTCACTTAGTCAGTCAGTCGCTTTCTGTTCTACTTCGATGATGCAATGCACATCGAGAGAGAGAGTTGGCGAGAGATAAACGCGGTGGAGGTGGTGAGAAAGTCCTTTTTGTTTCAATCGGATACCTGTTTTTCTTCGTTAACTTCGCTAATTATCACTGCACGCGGTTTCTGTATGCTTGTTCTCCACTCTGGCATTATTAGTTTTTACCTCACAGTTTTTTCATAGAATTTTTAAAGGCATCACTAATAACATGTATGTGACTTTTTTTAATCAATTTTTATCAATATTCCCCTCTTCTTATTACAAGCAATTATTATTGTTATTATGGATGTCGAGCTCTGTGCACGGATTTTTTATCCTGTCCTCATCGTTATTATTATTAATATTATTATTATTATTACTATTATTATTATTATGACAATGATGGTTGTCGTCGCTGATGTTGACACCACCTTGTGTATCTCATATTTTACCCTGATGACGACAACTTTACTATTATTATTATTATTATTATTATTATTGTGTAGCGAGCGTTGAGTCAGTCTCAGTAATTCTGGGTGTGTAAGTCCCTCGCTCCAGCCCAACTAGCCCTTGCCCGACCCGCCCGCGGATATTTCCTCTTGAATTGCAAGTGAATCTCTTACTTCCATGTGCCTGTTCCCACTCCTCATATTATCATTATTATTAATGTTTTATTTAAACTGTGAAATTGATTAAGAAACAAACAAACAAGCAAACAGTGTTGTTTTTTTTCTTTTACAAATTCCCTATCACTGGATCCCTGTTGTTGTCACACTGTATTCTTGTGGCTTTTTATTTTCCCTTTGTGTGTGCAACTGTGTTTGTGTGTATTTGTGTGGACAACTGTTTTGCACCTTGTTTCTACTACTGTGTAAAGAGCATAGTCCCTTTTCTCCTTAAAGCCACAGTCTGTATGCGCACATGTGTGCGTGTGTGTGTGTGTAGATCCTGAGAAAACACAAAACCAAGACTCAAAAACTGAAGTACATACATGGAATGAGGTGTATTTGTGCAATTACTCAGGCTAGCATATGTATGCATTCCTATTGGGCTGGCTATACAGCAAGTTCCTTCTATCTCTCTATAACTTGTTTGGTGTATCACTAATATGACTGCTACCACTACGGCGACGCTGACGACGACGACGATGATCACAATTCTTTCTTTCTTTCTTTCTTCTATCCTTCTTTAATATACCAACCAACTGGAACCTGAATTGTGCATCTTTTCAATAATATTCAAATGATGCCTCTTCTAAAATATCAGCAAATACCCAACAAATATAAAAGTATGAACTTTGGAATGTGTATTTGTGCCTTCCTTTGTTTGTGTGTGTGTGTGTGTTATGCGCGCTGTTAGCTTTAATGTAAGTGTAGAACTTAGGCACTGTGGTAGAAGGTGTGCTTCCCTATTAGATAAGTTTATTTTCAATATCACACACACACACAGTGATGATGATGACGATGACGATGAAGCATTAACAACTGGATGACAGACAGACAGACAAGCTGTCCGGTATAAATTACTGCCACTCTCATAATCACATCAGTCAATTGTAGTCGCACATGGTTTGGCCATTTGTCTTATGCGTATATTGTCTCCCTCTATTCTGTCTCTCTCTCTTTACAACTTCCCCGCGTGTTGTTTCTTGTCAGTTTCCATTCCACCGGTATAGGCGCTGGTGTTGCGTCGCATCATTCCGATCGCTGCAGGTGTTCGCTGTTGAATCGATAAACAAAGCTTCAGTGATTAACCTCTCTCTCTCGCTCGCTTGCTCGCTCCGTTCACCTAACTAACTATATCACGTCTTAATACTGTCATCCTGTCCCACCGACTCTGTTTTGTGATTAGATGTAAGTGAATGCACATCTGTTTTGTGAATGAAAGGCCTTCGTTGTCTTGAATGACATCGTCACCTACTTACTGTGTTGTACTTCGAAGTTGGAAACCGTTGGTTCTAGTCTTTACAGTTTTGCAAATGATAAGGGAAACACTCTTCGAGAAAAATAACACCATAATAAGCTCTCAGGGACGTTGGAAAGAACACTTTGAGGAGCGATTCAAATGGCCTACAGTCATGCTCAACTTATCCAGCACTCAACACCTATCTGAATGGGACACAAACACAGGTCCTCCATCCTTAACTGAGGTTACGAAAGCCGTCACTCATGTGAAACGAGGCAAAGCAGTAGGACAGAATGGAATGACTCCAGATGTGTTTAAGGATGGTGCAGACAGTTTACTGTCTCCATTATCTAAGGTATTAGACAGCGTCTGGGAATCACAGGTAGTCCCGTCGGGCTGGTGTAAGTTATTGATTATCCCGATATACGAGAAGGAAGACAAGTCTTCCTGTGATAATCACAGGGTGATTAGCTTGACCAATATGCTATCTAATGTTCCAGGCTCAGTAATCATGCGTTGACTGAGTAGTACTCGGTAGGAAAAAACACAAGAGAATCAGGCCGGCTATAGACCGGGAAGAGAGTGAATTCATCTTATACTCACTCTTCAACAGATACTGGAACTTAGGCATACTTACCGGCGTTCAGCAACTAGCAGATTTCTTTAGCTGAAGGCGGAATTCAGCTCTTTACACCCAGAGGTACTATGGTGATGTTTGGCTGTGAAGGGAATGCCGGGAAAATACATCGCACCAATCAAAGCACATCTACTGGAACTCATGCAGTCAGCCAGGAGAGAGCTTATGTAGAGTTGTCATCCAACAACTGTGATGACAACCAGTGGTGTTCGTCAGGGATGTCCACTGTTCCCGTTTCTGTTTAATTTTATCAAAAATGAACTAATGGACTCAACCCTAACTGACTTGAGCGACTCAGGGATTGACTTGTTACCATCAGGGAATAATGTCGTTGACTTAGAATATGCACACGATATGATCCTTCCAGGTGAAGTCACTGACAAAATAGGGCAAGTCTTCTGAACATCTTGGGCAATAATCCTAGAATATTTGGCAGGCTAATCGCTCCTTCTGTGAAATGAAAGATGATGCTACAGGACTGACTGAACTACGTTGACTCCTAGCTTAGAGACTTGCGTCAAGGGGAAGAGGAGTTGAAATGGTCTCCTGGTACCTAAATCACGTCCGCAGAGTAATTGCTGAAATCGGTGCTCATCGGAGATATTCATTCTCTGTATTACTGCCGCCTACAGCCTTTCGTACGGATAATCTTGCGGGAGGTTGTCGATGTAATCGTTGACCTCTCCAGTGACTCCCGTCGCCAACGTTGCTAACATTGACGCACGCTTAGAAATCTGTGACTTGATACCACTTCTACCAAATAAGGACTACACAATCTTGAATGAAATATTGGGATCGTCAGGATCATAAAGTTGGGGAGCGAAAATCCATAACCGCGTAGCCTTTCTTCTCATGTGTCTCCCTCTCCGTCGTAGAAGGTTACAGACGGGATTGTGAAGGAGTGTTCATTGGGAAAATATTTTTATTAATTCAATAAAAGTGAAATCGCATAGAAAGATAGTGATAATAAAGACATATATATATTGAGAGAGAGAGGCTATAAAAATATAAGTATTCCAAAGGTTTCCTTCACCAAAGACATTGATAAAATCTAACAAAAAAGATGTTGTTTCTAAATTCAAACCACATACACAAACTTCCTCCTAATTCGAAGTACACAATTGACTATATCTGTGTGTTTCAGATTTTCATCTCTACAACCGTCTTCTTAACTCATCCCAATTCGTTAATTATTATGGATGCACATAACTGTAGAGCATGTTGAAAGGGAATCTATCGAAAGGAATATTCTTGGTTCTCTAATAAGTCTTTTAATATTCTTAATTGACATATTTAACCAATCTTATTCAAAGCCAACTCACTAAAACTTCTCAAATATCGTTTGAAATGTGTGATGAATAACTGAATACTTTCTTCTTCTTCTTCTTCTCGTGTTATTTACTAAAGTGTGATGATGTGATCATACCTGCCTGCCTGCCTGTTAATGTCTCCTTAAACTACGTAAGCCTTGTGCCAGACTTCTTTTGAGTAGAATATTTTGAAAAATGTGTGCTCTTACTTCAGCTGAAGAAAAGCCTCAAAGTGGAAATATGCTGGAACAAAACTAAATTTGAAACAAAATTGAAATTACAAAGAGTTCAAGAAAGACGCTTAAGTTTTAATAATAAGCATATCAAAGTAATAGTAAATAGAATATGCATAATAATAATAATTTACTTTATTCCAAAAACAGTAATTGTGATACAGAATGGAATTTTCAGCATTCATCATAATCTTGCATCTAATTTCCTAAAACTATAAATACAATTAATCACATAAAAAATTTTTCTACATTTACAATAGGGTTAATATAAAAATTAAAAAAATAAAATACATGCAGCATATGAAATGGAAATAATAACAATGATAGCAGCTAAGGTAATGATAATAATACAATATCAAATAAAATGAAAGAAATCTCTACAACAACAAATTAAGGAACGTTGAAACCTTCATTGATAGCCAGGGGGCGGTAAAGAAAGTGTCTGAACCAACCAACTTCTTATTTTCGATATACACATTAGGCTTCTTAATGCAGATTCCAAAAGCCAGTCAGCCTCAGCAATATTTGTTTGTAACAGACCAAGTCTTGAGGTAAAATTAAGCTTAGTTGGTATATACGGTAGATGACTTTGAAAGCTGCCTTGTTTACATCAATCTTGTGTTCTGTATCTACGAGATGAGGCAGTATAGAGAGAGCTATGAATGGATTTCGTTTGTCCCTTACTACTTAACCTCTGTGCAGGGTGGAAATCCATCGGAAATCCAACGATGAGTGCACACATAATTGTAGGGTCTGTGCAACTGACTGGCTCACTCCACAGCGAGAGCAGTCAAAATGTGATGATAGATACACATAGAAAGAAGAAGAAGCGAAATTAGTCAGTTTATCTTTTTTACCTTCAGAATGTAAAATCGGGATGGTTTTGAAGACACAGCATACTTCAGCTACACTGAATGCTCTTTTTACCAATGTGTTCCTTAGGCGTTGTGTGCCTCGAAGACACGCACAATTCATCGTTTCCCACTGGGGTTCCACTCAAGCGACGACCTGTCTGACGCGCAATATCACTCAACGGTTTCCTCAGTGTGTTCTGAATCCATTGTATTGAGCAACAGGTTCTTCATTGGGTCGTTTCCAGAGTTTCTTGTTGCTAATCCTTCCACACTGGTCATCTGATCTTCACTATGGTGCCTGTGAAGACAGCTGTTGACAGACGTCTGCAGTATCCTGTTGGAGATGATTTTCATAACATAGCAAGTCTCTGACCCATATAAAACAGCTAACAACTGACTTCACTTTGGTGCTGACTGAGTGCAGACGCTTTGCAAACAGATTTCAGAGTGATGAAG